TATTCATGTAAATTGTAAGTCGTATGCATATTTTCAGATGAAATGTGAAGTTTTTCATCTAGAAATACTTTCTTGTTATATAACAAATTCGTGGTAAAAATGTTAATAATGATTAATCAATCATTTCATAACTCGTTTTCTTTTTAATAATATAAAAAACATATGATAACTTGACCCAATTTAAATTAGGTAAGGTGTTAATTTCTGAAATTGTTGTCACATTTAAGAAGCATAAGGAAAAGGTACTAAACTTTGGTGTTGGTTTGTGTTTGCTTCTCCAAATATTTTCTATTTTACGAGCAATTGTTCTATAATCAACAAATAAGAGTCTTCAAAGATAAACAGAAAAGAAGAAATGATTTTGAATAAATATAGAACAAGAGGTTATTATTGATTTGCTAGTGATGTAGAACCCCCAGCCGCCTAAGAAACATTAAATTATTTCCATTTTATTTTGAATCACTGCAATCTAATGAGTAAAATATTAAATCAATTTATATTCATTTTTTGGTGTAATTGTATCAACGTCCCCCGCAACACTACGTGAGGCGACTACTAAAAGGTTGGAGAGCACTGATGTAGAAGATTAACACATTGAAACTGCAGCAGATCGGTCAGTTTCGGATGAAATAATTCACATTATTGATCATATTTGAATTAGTTTGCTAATAAATTAGTGGGTTCGAATCGGTGTGGTTTTGGGTACGATGAATCCCTTTTGTAATTACCGATCTATTTCAATCTTGCATGTCATCTAAGAAAGATCCGTTTATCGAATTATCTTGAACTAAACCAATTAAACCAATTATCTTTTTTTTGTCTGCTAAGATGAACAGAAAAAAACAGGAATAATGTATTTATAATTGATTAATTAATTTAAGATAAATTGAGAAACTTTTTTACATAACACGACAGTTTTATATCATTTGTTTAAAACATAATACTTAGCAGTGAAACAATAGTAAAAATATAAAAGTAATTTTAAAGCATAGATTTTATTAACAAGTTAAAAAAATGTATCAAAATAAAATATATTGTTTGCAACAAACTGAATTATTAATAACATTCGGACGTAAAGACTTTTGTTCCAAAATAGGTAAAAAAAATAATAGACACTCAAATAATTAATAAATAAATAAAATATGCATAAAAATCTTCAATAGAGAGAAAGATAAATGATTTACAATCAAAAATTATTAAATGCAAAATCTTATATTTATTTGAATCCTTCACAATTTTTAAACTAAAAACAGGTAATTTTAGAATTTTAGATCATTTTTAATCAAAATACGTTATTAGCAATATGAAATGATGTTATAAAAATATTATTATATAATTATTGATGTGTAATACTTAGTTTTAGGTTAAAAGGCATTTAAAAATTACGAGTTTCGTACGATACACGTTAAAAGTTTAACGACTGCTGGGACGCTTTTTTACTTTGCATGACATTTACACGTAGCATTGGTAATTAAATCTTGAAAAGCTCTACATTATAAATTGTGAACTTCAAATGTACAAAAATTGAGAGTCATAATTAATTAATAACAAATTATTGATTTGTTCAACAAAATTTAAACAATGAACAGAAAATGATTTAAATATATTTTTTTTAATAGTTATATATTAATTAGGTTTGAATGAGTGCGAATTCAGTATAGTACGGTTTACAAATTTCAAAAATTAATTTAAAAGAAAACATAGACAAAATTATTTTTTAATACGCAAATGATCATATTTCCTTTGTACATATAATTATGTTTTGTACTGTTTATTTTTATGCGGTCTTGAAATCCTCGATTAGTCCGGTTTCAAACAAGTTACCAAGTCCGGTTACCAAGGTATTCTTGTAATTAAATAAATTTATTTGTCCTTTCAACGAATGGACTGAAGCTTTTCTACCAGTTTTTATAAACTATATTTCATATCAACATATTTCTGAGCAATTATTCATTACTAGCAAATTATTAAACAGTATTATTATTAGCTCGATGTATGATGTTGAACAATGAATGGAAAATGCAATTCCTGTGTAGACGACTCCACGCAGGACCCATTCATTACGATTATGATAAATAATAATAACAGCAATGAAAAAAAGGGTCAAATTTATGCGTGGCGCGTGTTGTGCCGATACACACGATAAATTAATTTGCGTCCATTACGCCCTTTTGGCAATATTATTACTATTAAGCGTTCCGACAAGGACGCAAAAGCAGCAAACCAGAAAAAAAAAGGAGAACGTACATATAAAAAAAAGCGGTGTAGGGCCGAAGCCTGGGCCCTAAAGCACATTGCGATGATTACGATGCCGCCGGGTTACGTTTAAGGCGAAAGACTTTACAGCGTTCGCATCGTAAACAATGCACGGTAATAACGATTCTTGGCTAGATGAGATTCTCTCACGTAATTTCCTATAAGCCCTAAACTGTTTATATTGCATTAATTGAAACTGGGCTTAAAAGCTCGAATCAATCCCGTCGCTTCGTCGAAACCAAAATAAAATTAATATATGCAAATGGAGCTTTGATTATTCATGCGGACATAATTAGTCCGATTATGGATTCATCTTTTCATCGGTTGCGTAATGGAAATGTATGTGTGTTTGTTTTTTTTTAACACTCGTCATTCGTTCAGCTTCAATATATTTTTTGTTTTGTTCTATTTTTTTGTTACCTTCGTTTCGTAACGCCAAACGTCACTTGAAATCAACTGGAACGAACGCATCGCTGGGATATTCCGTACCTGGTTTACATAATGTGCTTTCAAATTCAAGAATACGAACTTGCTCGAATTGACTTGCATTCGAAGAACACTTGTATTTTGAATACATCTTAAATAAAACTTTTGTATGGAAGGAGTTTGTGGAAAGAATGTAAATAGCATGCAGATTGTTTGTCATTCTAGGATGTACGTACTATCTAATATTCTTGGGATAGTTACAACGAAATTATCCCGTTGCAAGTAGGTCGTTCAATTCTGAACACGACTATTCGCGGCACTTGTTACCAACTGCTAACCGTTAAACTAATGACCACTAGACCAACTAGCCAACAACAAAATGGTCTAATGTAAACTTATCAAAGGACGATAATTATTGTATAAACATGATCTCTTTAAATATAATATCATTTGATAGACAAAAATAAAGTAAGGTTTAACTAAACTTTCTTTTAAAACTTAACAAAATTGCAAAAACTTATTTCGTTAATTCTTATTATATAGATATAGTTTTTAAGACTAGTTTAAATCTAATATGTATAATTTATATCATGAAATTATAATTGTTACATGTAAAAAAAAAAATTGATATAATTTGACAAAATGACTTCATAATTGAAAACAATATGATTTTTGAAATTTTAATATTTTGATGAAAATTATTGACTGAAATGATAATAAGTTTCCAATTTTATTAATTATCCATAATTTAATAATGTACATTCATTGAATATTTGCGATATTTAAAATTTAGTAAAATATAAATGTTTTTTTACCAGAAGGACTAAAGATACAAAACACATATAAAAATAATACTTAAATTTAAAGAAATATTAAAATAAAAAAATTAACACCTCTAAAATGTATATAAAAGAAATAAATAATAACAAAATATACGAACCAGAAAGACTGTAGTTAATAATGAAAAATAATATTTGAAAAGTTGCAAAATAAATAATATATAATATTCTTATTTTCTAACAAAGAACTGAAAAACATCATAATATAATTTCAGAGATAAATGTTACAAATTATGTATTTTAAGAGTACAACGTGAATGTACATTACAACTGTTCATCCAACTGTATGTTACGCAAATCTCGCGTTATGTGTCTACTGTAATCGGTATTATTATGATGATGCGTGACATTGTGGCGGCTTTATTAAAAGCTCACGATTCAATCCTGTCGTATAAAACAATTATTCAGTAGAAAGAGACAAAATATCAAATTTTACGATTGTTACAGTCAGAAAACTTATTAACTTATTGTTAATTTTATATAGAATTTATTCATTGAGTATATGACATAATAAATTCTAGAAAAAAAAAGTTGAGTATAGACAACTATTTTATATAATAAATAAATAATTCTGAATAAAATATATATTTAAAATGAATACAGATTTTAATAATAATAATAATAACATTTATTGTAACAAATTACAAAAAACAAACTCAACAAAATACCATAAGTGGAAAATTAAAACAAAGTTAATTTGCTGCAAAGGGAAATAGGTTTTTTTACCGTACAGATTTTATTAATTCGATTTTTTGTATCAAAATGTAGATATATTTATGTAGGTATATAATTCATTAGACCTTTGCAATATATATTAATAATTACAATTATCAAAAATGTGGCTGTTTCAGAAATAATGTGTGTAATTAGGTAACCGTAACCGTATGTTATTATTATTAAATTATATATGGTCCATTGAATACAAGAATTTACTAACAGACCGCACATCCAATATTCCAATCATTTAATAAAATATTATCATTATAATAATACCTACTGTTTATCTATACATTTAACGTAAAACTAAACACGTTAAAATTTCAAAAGAATGAAAACCCTGCGCATCCACCATAAATATTATATGAGGAAAATACAAAATCGCTCTGCCAGATGCAGAATTAGCGGTAGTTGAAAGAATATCGGGGCATTTGATATTTGCTCTGACAGGATTTAATACGGACGAATTAAAATTCAATTGAAAGTTCATCAAACGTAAAATGGAATTGAAATTTTGTTCCGTTCCACGCACCGAACATTTTCAATCTGGATGCGCCAATACGGGCGACCGCCTTTCGCAGTGCTTATGATCTACACACATTAATGAATAAAAATAGAGATAGATAAAAAAA